TCCTGACCTCAGCAGGGTTTTCTTTTCAACAGTTCCTACTGCAAAGCACTCAACTGACACTTTCCTTAGCAGGCAGGAAGTTATAAAACCACCTCTGTAGGCATCCAAACTCCCAGGTTCCTATAAAAAATTCTACATATACCAGGAAAGGTACATTAGAACCAATCAGAGAGAATTTACTCATTTTCCCAGTATGTTATCAGGCGAACAGAAGCAGAGGGGCATGGACAAGGGAGATGGGAGGGGCCGATTTCCCAAACCCATCAACAAAATCCTTCGACATTCCAGTCGGTTGGTTCCACGACTTTGGAATGAACAATGAAAATCTCAAACTTATAAAATGATTAGCTTTCTGCTCTGCTGACAATGGCTAAAGGAGGAAATGAGTTAAAAGACAGGTTGGACTATCTCCATGTAGTCCCTACAAACCACGTTAATTATCTTACATTAGCATTGAGCTGTCAGGATCAGCATCAGCCCCGTTAACTTTCTTGACCTTCCTCAGTCTGCACCTTGTTACCCTACAATGTTTCATGTTTACAAAGATAGGAGACTCCAGCTGCTCTAGCCTGACAGAACTTAATTTACATTTGGCCTTCATTAAGATGAGAGTCAGAATCATTGAGACCAAATGGAAAAGCCAGACTGCTGGGGGTTATGAAAAATTCAAATGGCATTTTCCCTTTTATCTGACAATTCTTATTAAGGAGACATACATCAACCTGAAATACATAAACCTTAAATGGAAAGGACATGATTAAAATTCCATATCGCAGGACTAGGACCCGAGTGACTTTGCCCAAGAGCTATGGTGGTCCTAGTACATCTCTCCTGTCTTCAGACAGAAGACAGAACTCCAAATTCTGCCCAGCTCCCCCTGACATCTGATTCTAGGCTAAGGACAAGGAACACGTGAATGACAGCAATACTGAAGTGAGTGGTCAGCTCTGACTCTGCCATCTGACTCACCCTTCACAGCCAATCAGTCTCAATGTCCTGTTGACATTATCCTCTAAAGATTTCTGGAACCTAGCTCCTCTCCATACCCCCGTGCCTAATTTTGGTCTCATTAGTTCTCACCTGGAATACTGTAACAGCTCCATATTGGACCATTCAAATTATTCAAAAAATAGGTATTGAGCACTATTATAAACCAGCCATTTGATTAGGGATAGGGATACAGCAAAGAACAAAATGGATATGATCTCCATCCTCCTTTATATTACAAAGGTTGAAAGGGAAAAGGATTATATAAATCATCATACAAATTGACATATCATTACAATTTATGAAAGACACAATGAAGCAAAATTAAGAGTGCGATGACAAGAGACTTCTGATTTATTTGAGGGTCAGGAAAGAGTTCTTTAAAAAAGCAACAATAAAGCTGAGACCTAAATGACGAGGAAGAATCAGTGGTGAATAAGCAGAGGAAGAATATTCTGGGCAGAAGGTACAGCATTGTCAAGACCAGGGGCAGCAAACTTTTTCTCTATAGATCCAGAAAGTATATATTTTCTGCTCTGAGGCCATAAAGTCTTTGTCTTAACTACTCAGCTCTGTCACTGCAATGCAAAAACAGCCAAGCACAGAACATAAACGAATAAGTATGGTTGTGTTCCAATAAAACTTTATTTATAGCCACTAAAATTTTAATTTCATATAATTTTCACAAGTCACAAAATATTCTTCTTTTAATTTTTTCTCAACCACTTGAAAATGTAAAGGCCATTCTTAGCTCCTAAGCCATCCAGTAATAGGCAGTAGGCAAGATTTGGCCTGAGGGGTATAGCCAACCCCTAGCCAAGACTCTGAGCAATCCCTGTGGATGGGTGAGAGTGAGCCACACAGCAGGGGTTGAGAGACACACAGCAAGGGAGGTGTGTGTGTGTGGGGGGGGGGGTGTAGAAATGGCATCACAGACCATCTCTGGGCCATACCACAAAGAAACCAGGGTCTCTCTCTAGAATGTCCTTTCTGTCTTCTACTAGACAAAACCTTCACTCCTATCTTGAGGCTTATGTCAAACTACTTACCCTGGGGAAGCTAATCGTTTTCTCCCATGGCACTCTTCATATTCCTACAGCACAATGCTTAGTGCGCCTTCTGGTGGCTCTGTTTCCGTGTCTGCCCTCCACCCACTCCATTCCTTATGCTCCACCACCACTGCCCCAGTGGACGCTGTGCCCCTCAAGGGTAAGGCTGAGTCCTTATTGTCCCCCTGTCCCCAGGGCCTATCACAGTTTCTGGTTCATAGATCTCAGTTCAGATTTGGCAAATTAAGGAATGAATAGAAAGTAAATAAATGATATTTCAAAGAACTTATTAATAGGACACAAAGTCTCATATTTTTATTTTGAATGTGTCCTTGAACAGCTCTACTGCAGCATTAAAAAGAAGATACCATTTCCTGATTCTCCACAACTGGAAGCTTTTCATGGTATAAGAGTGGGAGTCTTTGGAATTAAAAGCGATTTAGTAAGTCTCCAGGCCAGCAATATCAAGCATCACCTGACAACTTGCTGGAAATGCAAATTCTCAAATTCTCAGTCCCTACCCCAGAGCAACTAAATCAGAACCTGCAGTTTAACAAGATCTCCTGGTGATTCATTTACACATTAAAATTTGAGAAGCACCATAGCCATCACGGTCAGGCTTTAAGGAGTAAGGAGATGATGCTAAAACTGATTTTAGAAATATCATTCATTTTGAATTTGCAATCATGCTAAAACCCAATGGATTCTCAGCAAGAATTCTTATGCATGCTTACTCCCCACCAAAAAAACAAAATGGGTTTGAGGCTTAACCTGCAGGTAGTTGAATACATAGTGAGGCAACGTTTAGAAACTTAGAAAATTTTGAAAGGGAATGCTTTTTTTTTTAAATAAATTAATAGAAGGTGCTCTTAGAAGGTCACAGGCACTGCCATGTAATCTATAACTTAATTAATTTCTATGGGCTTTACTTAGTGCAGTTTGATATCAAGTGCAAGATGGGAAGCATCCTGAGAGGTTCATGCCAGATGTACATTTAGATCTCCTGGGATATATGGCTTGTGCTGGCCGTGCAGGTACTTAATAAAGGCCCTTCTGATGAACCAACAACCCTCTGCCCAATCCACCTCATTTAGTATTAATACAACCCTTTTTTTTCTGTGTTGACAAAACACAGTCATATATTCAACGTATGTCTTCTCTTGTAACAAGTTTAGGCTGGCCTAAAGAACACCACTGCCCTCGTTCCTGGTCCTACCCCAACCTACACGCTTCATGGAGGGATTTTAGTACTCTATGACATGCTGGAATAAGCTGGGATTTGGAGCCCAGTAGACATGGGTTTAAATTCTGGCCCTATCATCAGTTTGAGAAAGCCATATGACCCCTCTCTCAGCCTCAGTTTCCCATGCTACCTGCCAGGCAGGATTTGATAGGATTAAATCAGTTGATGCCTATAAAACACAAAGCACAGTGTGGAGGTGGTGCAGAACAGTTCTGTATTCTGATTTGTGTTTCAGCATGTATTTGAATCAGGTTTTCAGAATGACCTAATCCAACTCTCTCACTTTATAGATGGAAAAAGTGAGACCTGGGATGAGAAGTGCGTTGCCCAAAGCACACAATTATTGACAGTAGAGTCAGAACTGGTTCTTGAAAACTCCTGACTCCTAAGAAACTTTGTGTTTTCAAACTCTTAGCAACCATGGAAGCCTTTCTGCAGATTAAAACTTACAAAACAGCTCAATATATATTAACATAACAGATAGCAAGCCGAGCCTGCTTTGACTGTTGAAGCCCTTCCTTCTTACCCGTCTCCTGCCCCATGGTGGCAATCCTGGGGCACCTTCTCAGTACCCTAAGCTCCCCCATCTCCTACACAATTTCAGTAATTGAAGACTCAGCCCACCTGAAACCTCAGAGCCAGTAAAAGAATCACTGCAGGTCTTGCTCATTAGATGGATTCTCTGTTCACCAGACCACCTAGCGGTTTTCAAGTCCCTGAGGTTCCCAAAGGACTTGAACTTTCTCACACATCCATCTCTAATGGGAACCATTAAGCTGACATCACCATTCTCCACACTTCATAAAGAAGTCCTAACATCTGGAAATGGGAACCACCTGCAAGTGCTTTGACCAGAGACCGCCCTATCATTCAAGGACTTGGAAACTCAAGTGCAGGTGAGATGAGAAAGGGATACCCTAAAATGTCAACAAGGCCAAAGATGAATAATTTGGGGCTAAAAGTGTATAGGAAAGGAAAGCTCTGGTCAGAAGATCTGGACTTAAATTCCAGCTCTGCTACTTTCTAATTGGGATGGTAATTAACCTCTCTGAATTCCAGTAGAGTATTGAATATTAAGAGAATTGATTTTTTTTCTTTCTTTTTTTTATTTCAGAATATTATGGGGGTACAAACATTTTGGTTACATGTAATGCCTTTGCCTCACCCAAGCCAGGGCTAGAAGCATGCCCTTCCCCCATACAGTGTGCTCTGTCTCCATTAGTTGTGAGTTTACCCACCCCCACCCCACCCACCTGACTGGCACCCAATGAATATTACTATCATGAAGAGAACTGATTTTTGAGTCAGCCAGTCTTAGGTTCAAATCTTGACTAGGTCAACTACTTCTAGTTTCACTTTGAGTTAGTTTACCTCTAATGAGCTTTAGTTTTCTTGTCCACAAAACAGAGACCCTTAAAAAAACAAAACAAAACAAAAATAAAATAAAATTTCACAGGGTCATTGTTAACATTCAAAGAGATGATGTGTAAAATATGAATCACAGTGCCCACAGCGCCTGGCATGAGTTAAGCACACAAAAACAGGTGTGATTTAACTGCAACCTAATCAATAAAATAGGATCAACCTTCCCCAGAGAGTTGCTGGGAAAAATCAAACCTAAAGTCTGTTAGACTTTAGCAGGGTGGCTGGCACATGCAGATCCTCAATAAAAGGAACCCTCTACTACTGTCAGTATCCTCTCTTCAACCCTGTGCACTCACCTCTTTCAGCCACAGAAGCTTCGGGGCCTGCATTTCCACAGACATCATCCCCCCGACGTACTGCAGGACGCTGTGCTTGGTTTCGTTGATCCTGTGGACCTGACTGACCGCTCGGTGGTCCAGCCACATGATGATATTTCGACGGGAATCCCCTAGCAGAAACAAGAGATGAGGACAGACATGCATCCTTGGCCTTCTAATTCAAGGAAACAACTATGGATTTCCAAGGGCAAAATGCTATGTAACTTCTACAATTTCATGTATCAAAAATGAGCAAAGTGAAAGGACACCAGCCAGGCCAATGAGTGCATGGTACCCAAACCTTGGATTCCCCTGCCAGCGATGTGTTCTTTGACCATAACCCCGGGATTAAAAGTCTACATTAAAACCAGCCAAAATCTACCAGTTAATTATGTTATCATTCATTCTCTCTCAACTTATTCCCCTCCTTTCCTATGCCTGCTGCTCTAAAAAAACTTTTCTGGGCACACATTCAGGAAAAGAGCCTATGAATTAAGACTAGGACAATACTTCATCTACTAAAGATGTCTCCTTTAAATATGGACACATACTTGGATGTACAATAACACATCTAATAGCTACACAATGGCATTTATCTGCATATATTTTTTTCTGGTCAGTTTAATAAAAATTAGTTCATTTAGCTGTTGTATCCTCATTCACTTGATTTGTTTGGTGGAGCAGGAAACACATGAGTTTTGGAGTTAGGCAGACCAAATGGGGAATGCTGACTCTCTAAGTTACAGATGGAGATATACTCAGCAAGTTACTAAAAAAAGACTGTGCACATAAAGGATATGGCAAGCCCCTCTCACAAAGTAGGCCCTCAGGGGGAGTAAATCTTAAGGAGCAGAATTTAGAACCAGCTGGAAAAGGAGCACCACCCCTCATATCCTGCCTTTGCCACCCTGCATCCCACATAGCAACCATCCCTGTCTCTCTTCCCCAGCCTCTGTTAACCCATCATGTACTGATGGGCAAGCCAGTGTGCCTTTTATAGCCCTCTGGCTCCTCCGATGGCAGACTGCAGACAACAGCAATGATGATACCTGGGAGATTATCAGAGAAAAGACAAAAGGGGAGCCAGGCATTTTCACACATTATTTTATTTAATGGCAAAATAACTGCACACTACATATCTTGCTGACAGCACATGTTTATAATGTGTGTTTGTGTGTCTCCCGAGCCCTGAGTTAAACATTTTATACACATATTACCTCATTTAATCCTCAAAACAATCCTCTGATATAGGTATTATTAACCCCATTTTTCAGTGATGAGCAGACTCTCGAGGGTGAAGATGTGCCCAATGTCTAGCAGCTGGCAAATGTATGAAGTGTGATTTAGAACCACATCTGTGTGGAGAATAAATAATCTGGTAAAGCGAATAAACTACAAGAATAAGGATACCAGCTGAGATGTTTTAAAACACAAAGTCATCCCTCCTTATCTGTGGGTTCCACACCCATGGAGTCAACCAACTGTGGACTGAAAATATTTAAAAAAAAAAAAAGTGGTTTCAGCTGTATTGAACATGCACAAACTTTTTCTTGCCATTATTCCCTCAACTATAGAGCATTACAATTATTTACACAGCATTTACATTCTATTAGGGAATTACAAGTATTAGGTATTCCAAGTAGTCTAGAGATGACAAAGTACAAGTGAGGATATGTGTAGGTTATATATAAATACTACACCATTTTATATAAGGGACTTGTACATCCGCGGGTTTTGGCATCTGAGGGAGGTCCTGGAACCAATCCCCCACAGATAAGGAGGGACAACTGTATGTTGTTTGTTGTTGTGGCTGTATACATACAGAGTAAAAGCACAAAAACAATGTCTTTGTGAACAACAACTACGGCAGAATGGTTAGCTGTAGGAGGTGGAGGGGGGAGATGAGCTGAAGTTACAAATACTTCTTAAAAAGAAAAACAAAAGACCTGATGCAAATATGGCAAAAAGTCATCTGTTTATGCTCAGTAGTAGGTGCATAGGAGGCTATTTTATTTTCTTTACACCTCTATATCTTTGGAAAGATTTTTTTAAACTAAAATTTTGAAAAAGCCAACCTAAGAAAATATCTAAATAAGGTCATGGACATAACAAGGCAAGGGCTCTGTCACTGGTGTTCTTAACTGGAAAGATTTCAAGTCCCACAAAAGTCCTACAAACAACAGTAATGTTTTGAAAATAAGACAAAGGACAGAGTACATGAGACCTTCCAAAGGCATATCAAAAAAATATTTTTAAACAGTATAGTGGTTCTACTGTATAAAAGAATTGCTCAAAGCTGTGGTTCCCAAAACTGGTAGGTAGCTCATGAGAATCACCTGGATAACTTCTAAAAATACTGAGATCCAGGTCCTGTTCCAACCATCAGCGAATCACCTGCACACATGTATGTGGATGGGTGTTGAGGGAGACAATATCAGTGTTGTTTCTTAAATATTATACAGAATGTATCTACAGCTGCTTCAAGGCAAAACCACCTGCTGCAACACTTCTGCTTGTAGTAAAGACAGACCCATCAGCTACTACTGCATTTACATAAAGAGAGTCTCAAAATATAGTCAGAACAATACAATGAAAATTGTACAGAATCAGTCATTTTACTATATTTATTAGAATTATTAATTTAAAATTTTCAGTTCAGAAAAAAACGTGGGAAGTTAATCCTTTTTCAGTTCTTACAGAAAATCACAAATAAATGACTCAACTGAAAGTTTGTGCAATCTCTTCTTAGGCGTCTACGAGGTGCAAGGCACAGTGTTGGGTGCTGGGATACCAAGAAGAACATGTCACTGTTCCTGTCCTGCAGAAGCATGTGTGTGAATGGGGAGTCTATACAGTGCGTTGACTGCCAGAACAAAAGTTCCAGATGTGAGAACACAGAGGAGGAGCACAGAGAAGAATCCAGTGAGTTGAGCCTGAGGCTGCACAGAGAGCTTCCAAAAAACAGGAAAGCTCTGACTTAGTTTTGCAAGTCACTGGCCATTGGTTAGCCAGGCGAAGGAGGAGTGAGGAAAGAGGTTCTACACAATAGAGACAGCGTGTGAAACAGGACACAGACCAAGAAGGTGTCATCTTTTAACAGAATTGGAGATGATTTGGTAGAGCAGAATTTGAGCTACCTCAGTTTACCTATGGGTTCACTTCATTAATATTTTGAACACTTCACAAGATGTGGTCCAGGCATACCGGAGAGGAAAAAATTACTATGAATCAGCAAAAACATCTAAATACTATGTTTCTGCTGCACAGAGTAGCCCAAGTTGGGACTTCCTCTCCCGGCCCCAATTATCTATCACCTTGGTTCTCTCCCAAGGGCTCCTATGGCTGAGCTGACACAACCAGAGTTGGGCTCTGAGCTCCGTGGCCTGCTGCAGGGGCTGGAAAGCACAGCAATTACACTGCTGTCCACCCCAGGGGCTGTTTGCAGCTTCAAAGAAGAAGAATCAAACAAGAAAAGGCGAACAATGAGACTGTTTTATCATATAGTAATGCTTATTATTCTCAAACTATTCAACTTCAACTTATTGGTTTCTGTTTTCATTCTGTGGTTAACATCTAAAGATGGCAGTACTTCTGGTCTGTGAGTTTGGTTCCAGTGGTGACCGGGGTAATCTGTGAACGTCCTGATCCCACTCCCCACTCCTCACAATCACTCCCGTTAATAAAGCAAGAGTCGGTCACTGCCACGCAGGTAGAAGCAGTCTTTAAAGAACCTTTAAACCACCTTTAGAGTCTAATTTCATTTTCTAGCACAGGATAATCCATTTCAGAAAAAAAAATCTAACCTTAATCCAATCTGTTGAAAGGCAAGCAACTGGCGAAGGGCACCTGCAGCTGGATGCGTTTGATGAATGGGCACATTTTAACCTTTTAGGTGGAATACAGTTATTTCAACACTTATAATTAGGGCTGTAGCATAGCTGCCCTTTTAATAGAGGGCCTGTTAACAGGAGGCAATTGTACCTACAGTGAAAAAAAGATGGCATCCAGAGAGGGTATGTATTATATTTAAGCAGGTTTAACAAGGAACTCTCTTCTTCCACTTCCAGCGTTCTGTTCCTAATATTTTAACTGCCTGTTCATCTGTGCCCAGTGATTCTCCAGTGATTCTCCACAGACTAACATTGCTGAGGAAACTTTTTAAAAATTGACATTTTAAAAATGTCAATGTCCTACCCCTACCCCAAGCCAACTGAATACAAATCTTGGGGGTAAGTCTAATAAATTGGTAATTTTTTAAAAAGATCTCCAGTCGATACTAATGCACAGCCAGAGGGGGAAAAAGTAAACATATATTTTAGTAGATTAGATGGTACAGGATTCTAAAGGACATCTAAAGTCCCACCCAAAATCAGGCTCTCCACAGTGGCTTTATGGAGCCAAGTCCCTTCCTGACCCAGCCCCCACCCCACCCCACTCATACCAATTGCCCTTTAAACTTTTAACTTCTGGGACACGATTTCTGACCTCCACACTCCACCTCTAAATCTCACTATCAGTGGCAAGAGACACCTGACCTACAGCAGCCCTAACAGACAATCACCTGACCTTTACTTAAATAAAGCCAATAAAGGAAACGCTGACAGCCTCCCAAAGTGGTCAGGTCCACAGCTGGCCACAGCTTGTAGCTGGAGAATGCTTGCTGCTGCTGGGCTGAGGTCTGCTTGCTCACCACCACTTCTGTGGACTCTGCTCTCTGAAGTGGCCCAGACTGAGGCTTCCCCTGGCCAGAACTATGCCAACTGAGTCAATGAATGGTCACTGAGAACAAGAGCCACTCGGATTCATCTTTGAAGCCCCTGCACTGAATAAGACAGGGCTTGGCACACTGTAGATGCTCATAAATGTGGCAAGAAGTAAGGGGGTAAGGTGTAAATGTGTGCGTGTGTGTGTAAGAGACGGTTGTCATTACTACTGTGCTCTAATAACTCAATTTGCACACCTTTTCAGCACATGTCATTTATAATAATCACTATTACTTGCATTAAATCCACAGAAGTGAGTGGAACACATTCTCTTAACTTGAAAAATTCAAAGACAAGTGGAAGACATTTTTCTGAGCATTTTAAGTGTCAAGATCTTACTTAATTCTCACAGCAAAGCAACTGACTCACTATTCCAATTTTTTCAGAGGAGAAAACAGAGACATGTGGAGTTAAGTGACTCACCCAAGGTGTCACAGCTCAGCAACAGCAGAGCGGCAAGCTGATCCCTGCCTGATTCCAATTCCACTGTGTCCTAGTGTGCCCTACTATATCACAGCCAATAGTTAAGAAAGTTGCTACTACAAGCAGTGTCCAGAACTAAGGTTCTTAAACAGAATCTAGCCCCAAACTTGTTTGCTATGGCTATCTTGGCAGCAGCTCACTGACAACGCCTAGAACCACCCCCAACTTTAGATGGGGCTGCGATCTCCAGTGTGCCACAGACTCTATCACGACCTAATGCCTTCTGCTCATTACAAGGTTAAATACTGGTTGAAATTTATCTTTGCACATACATGTGTGCTGTTGTTGTTCTCAAACCTGGGCCATTTTAGTCATTTACATTACATGCCTGACTAGTGTAGACTTGGGTTTGCAACCCCAGTACCAGCACCATTGGCTAAAATTCCCCCAAAGAGACACAACCTCACCTGCCATGAAAAATCTCTGATGGTGTGCCCAAGTGGCACTTTACATTTTAAACATCTCATTTTTGTAATCACAGTGTCTATTAGAACAACGTCATCAAATGTGAATGTCTTTTGGTCTGACTATTGAAAATAGAGAAGCCATCTGTTTCCAGCTTCTGTGTGACACATGGTCCTATCTACCTTGTTCCATTTCCTTTAAAAGGACTGGGCTCACCCACTCAAATGAACATGGACTGGGAACTTCATACACAAAGCAACTGCAAGCCCTGACACTGCCTTCCCATGAAACATCCAAACCACCTTCTGTTTCAAGGCTACTCACTCCAAGCTAATGACCCCAGGTCCTTCCTTCATCAAGCTCTCTACTGTGGCTCTTATGCTTTAGGAAGCCAAGTCTCCCCTAACCCAGCCCCAACATCACCCCACTCCTACCAACTACTGTCTAAGGTTTTCATTTCTGGGACACAATTTCTGTCCTCTTCACTCCACCTCTGAATCTCACTATCAGTGGCAAGAAATGCCTGACCCATGTTCTACCTGGGTCCTTCAATCATCCAAGTCTGTCCCAGCCAGTCTCCCATCACCAGGAAAAGGAAGAGGAATGGTCCTACCTTCATGGTTTACTGGTAAAGGACGAAACTGCTTATCCAAAACAACCAGAGAACACGTGGCATCAAACCCAAGTCCTCGAATTTGTTTTAAATCGATCCCTTGTACAACTTTCTGTTTTAAAAACAAACAAAAACATAAATTACAACACCGGGGTTTTAAAAGCTTGAAGACAAATTACAACTAGAAGAAATAAATGACAGAACAGAAAAATAATATTTACAACATAAAACAGATAACAGTTCAATATCACTAAAATACCAAAAGATCCCATAAATTAATAAGAAAACAACCACCAATCTAATTGGAAATTAAGCAAAGGACACAAAAAGTCACTTCGTAAAATAAAAAGAAATGGTCAAAGAGCATATGAAAATATTTTCAACTCCACTACAATAAATGCAAATAAAAATATTCCAAAATTTCTGCTTTTCATATTGGCAAAACTGTAAAAGATTAATAGTACAGGTTGCTATCTCTTATCCAAAATGCTTGGGACCAGAAGTGTTTCAGATTTCAGAATTTTTTGGATTTCGGAATATCTGCATATACATAATAAGATATGTTGAGAATGGGACCCATGTCTAAATATAAGATTCATTTATGTTTCATATACACCTCACACACAGAGGCTGAAGGTAATTTTATAGGATATTTTTAATAATTTTGTGCATGAAACAAAGTTTGCATACACCAAACCATCAGAAAGCAAGTGTGTTACTGTCTCAGCCGCTCCATGTGGCATCGTGATGGTGCTCAAAAAGTTTTGAATTTTGATGCATTTTCAAATTTGGATTTTTGGATTAGGGATGTTCAACCTCTAGAGGGGTGGTTGTAAGATAAGGAGAAGTGGACTTTCTTGAACATTATTCTAACAATGTAATTATCCTGCATACATTTTAGAGAATAAGTTGATAGTATTTATTAAAATTAAAAATATGTATATCGTTTGGCCCAGCAATCCCATGTCCAGGAACCTATCTTAGCAAATTATTAGCATAAGTAAATAAAGTTATACATAGAAGATGGTTAACTATAGCACAGCTAAGAATATACTCAAAAACTGAAAAAACTCTTTAGTAAACTATGGCACATCTGTCATTTATTAATCTGTTATTAATAAAAATGAATGAAATTTAAATTTCTATGCAGAAATTTAAAAGAAAGAGGTAGAAAGGCAACTTCTGGGTGTGGTGGTATGAAGAAGTCAGAAAATCCTCAGCAAAATAAATGTACAAAACTGGACAAAATTGTCAAAAACAAAGAGTTGGGACTATGGAAATTGATCAAAGCCACATGACAAATTGAGAAGCATTTTTTCTTAAAAAAATCAAATTTGTACAGAAACATTCCCCCAAGAAAATAAAAAACAAAAAACTACAGGTCCAAATGGCTTCACTGGGGAATTTTATAAAACATTTAAGTAAAAAACAATACCAGTCATACACAAACTTGTTTAGAATGTAGTAAAGGGGAGACACTTTCCAATAAATTTTCATGGCCAGTATTACCATGATACCAAAGCTAAGCAATGACATCATAAGAAAAGAACACTACAGACCTATATTTGTCATGAATATAGGTGTAAAAATCCTTAAAATATTAACAAACCAAATCTTGCTATATATATCTCATTATATATAAAATGTCCCTCTGGAGAATTCTGACTAATATACTCAGGAACGAATTTATCAAAAGAAGTTCAAGACCTATACACTGAAAACTACCACACACTGCTATAAAAAGCTACCAATTAGAGAAATATACCATACTCATTAAATGGAAATTTCAACATTGTTATGATGGCAATCTCTTCAAATTAATCTACAGATTCTACACAACTCCTATTAAAACCCTAGGAGGTTTTATTTACTTACTAATTTTTTTGGTAGAGCCTGACAAGCTATTCCTAACATGCAGAAATGCAGAAATGCAAAGGCCATAGAAGGGCCCAAACATTTTTGGAAAAAAAAGAACAAAAACTTATGCTACCTGATTTCAAAACTTACTATAAAACTACCATTACTAAGTCAATGATGTATTGGCATAAGGATAAATGTATGTATCAGTACAATGGAACAGAAATATAAGAAACAAACCAAAACATTTTTGGTCAATTGGTTTTTGATAAAGGTGCCAAGACAATTCAGTGGGGAAAGGATAGACCATTCAACTGTGATGCTAGAATTAAATGGCTATATGAAAAAACAAAAACCTGGACTCTTACCTCACACCACACACAAAAATTAACTGAAAATGTATCACACTCCTAAATGTAAAAGCTAGAACTGTAAAAATTGATAAATTTGACTTTATCAAAATTTTAAAATTTTCCTCTTCAAAACAAATAATTACAAAATGAAATGACAAGCTATGGGCTTGAAGAAAAGATTTGCCAATCATACATCTGATAATACATTTATACATAGGATATATAAAGAACTCTTATAAAAACAACCCAATTAGAAAATGGTCAAAAGATCTGAATAGACACTTCACCAAAGAAGATATACAAATGGCCCATATGCATTTGAAAAAGCACTCAATATCATTAGTCATTAAGGAAATGCGAATTAAAATCACAGTGAGATACCACTACACACTTGCTAGAACAGCTATAATCACAAAGACTGATAATACCAAGTGTTAGAGAATTGTTGAAAAAGTGGGACCCTCATATATTACTGGTGGAAATGTAAAATAGAGCCATTTAAGATAATGTTTGGCATATTTTTAAACATAACTTACCACACAACCCAGCAATTACACTCCTAGATATCTACCCAAGAAAAATAAAAACATATGTAAACATAAAGATTTTATGCAAATATTCATAGCAGGGTTATTTATAATATCCCCAAGGTGGAAACAAACCAAATATCCATCATAGTTTAATAAAATGTTAAATAAAGCATGGTATATCCATACTATGGATTATCACTCAGCAAGAAAAAGGCAGGAACTACTCATATGTGTAGCAACATGGCTGAACCTTAAAAACACTGTGCTAAGCGAAAAGAGCCAGACACAAAGGAATGCATGCTGTATGATTTCATTTATACAAAATTTCCTTTAAAAAGCAACTATAAAGACAGAAAGCAGATAAATTGTTACCTATGACTGAGGTTGGAGATTATGCAAACAGGCATAAGGAAACTTTTGGATTAATAAATGCCCTAAATTGGATTATGGTGATGACTGCACGACTGTATAAATTTACTAAGATAATTATATATTTGCAATGCCTAAATTTTATGGTATATAAATTATACTTCAAATTGTTAAATATCCTTTAAAAAACAAATTAAGCTATAAAAGATAAAATGGAATGATACCTATATTAATAAAGTATAAAAAAGAACATGTTTTTTATACTTTTATGTTTTTTATACTGCAGGGTGGAACTGCAGTTAGAGGGGACAGGAGACTTTGCACTTGTTTGTGTAATTTTTAAAGCTGTAGAGTAATAAATTTATTGATTAATTCTATTTTTTAGTTTTGTTTCTATGGTTTCCTTTTTGGAAAAAGCATGAGTGACCATATGGTTTCCATTAACTTAAAATATGACAATAAGCTTTTAAATCCCATAAACGTCAACCCAAAAGTGTTCATCCCCATTTAGTGAAATTCACCTTAAAATATATAAACTTCTTTTTTCCTATTTGGGAATACCAGAATTATAACTTAAGAAGTCCATTTCTTACTATTTAACATGTTCCTCAAACAAGATCTACACACAATTATTGAAGATTCAGAACAAAAAAAGCATTTTTTCAAATATTAACAGTAAGTATTATATATATTGAGCATCTACTATGTGCCAGGTGCTTTACATATATCATCTTATTTAATCCTTACAAAGCCCTCTAAAAGAAACATTTAATAAAAAACAAGAGGATGATTGGGGAGGGGAGAGGTGAGCAAGCAGGCTCAGAGAGGTTAAGGAACTGGCCCTTGTCACACAGCCAGTAGATGGCAGAGCCAGAATTCAAATGAGAAGCTCGTGTTCCTTCTATTACACCATACTGCCTGCCTCTGTCATCAGAGTATTTCCTGTTGCCCAAGAGACACATCCTGTGGAGAGGACACGTGCTGTACGGGAGAACATTTGCTAGTGACCCATCTGTGACTGCTGGCAATACCTTTGACCCACAGTACCAGGTGAATATCCTGTATGCCTTTATCACACTGATCATTCTAGACTTACAGGAGTTTGAGGACCAAACCCATTCCTTGACAGGCAGCATGGCCTCATGACAATGAGTCACAAAGACCTGAAATCAAATCCTAGCTCTGTCACTCTGGCTATGTGACTGAGGGCAGGTTACACAATTCCAGCCATTGCAACTCCTCTCTTGCCTTGCTGGTTCATGTTTCTGTAGCACTTACAGGTACAGCTTCCTCTGCCTGGAATGTCCTTCCAACTTGGCTTGGAAATCACTGGGTAGGAGCTAAGATCAATGGCTCTGGGGTACACTGCCTGAGTTTGAAATCCGGCTCTGCCATTTACCAGTTATATAACTTTGTGAACTCAGAAAACCAGCTTCCTTGGTAGCACAAAGCTATTACTTATACCTGCATTTCTCCATGATATTATGAGAATTCAGCAAAATAAGATGTGATTTGCTTAACATCTGGCATTCAGTACACAATAAATAGCATCTTTTATTAGAGTAAATTAGCTGCTTCAAATCTTCTTTGAACACGTGGGACGTCAATCAATCACTTGCTACGTGGCCCTACTGCCCTCCACACCCAGAGACTGCATGCCTGACTTGGATAAGCCCATCTCACACAGGCCCAAAGTTGGTCAAGAGAGGAATTGGGTGAGAAAATGTCGATAAATCAATAAAACTCCACACCGCAAGGCAGCTTCAGAGTAGAGACAAACACAGGATACGGTGTCCACAGAATCACCGTCTGGTCCCAACTCCACCACTTCTCGGTCAGGTAATCACTAACCTCATCCCCTCTGAGCCTCAGTGTCCTAAGAGTGAGAGATACTTCCCCGGTGAGGATCAAAAGATTCAACGGATTTGAAAGTACTTTGGAACCAGCAAACCTTTATAGGAAACAAAAAGGAGAGAAAACCCACTCGATGCCTTATTAATGGT